ACGTTATAAAACCAAATTTAAATACAAGTCTTTCAATAGAATCTTTTTTCTCTGAGTCAGGCATAAAAATTAAAAAAAAAAAAAAAAAAAATTATTTTAACCCTAGAATGGGAAGGGAAACAAAACTGGTTTTATTCTATGGAACTTTGAACACTTGCAACTAATGTGCAAAAAACTAAAATTATTTATTGAATACCCCCCTCCAAAAAAAAAAAAAAAAAAAAAAAAAAAAACCATAGACAAAGCAACAATTTGGTTGCTAATTCAAGTTAAAACATTTTTAAACAAAAAGCAACAATACTAGAATTTGAATGTGTAGAAGAGTCAAAAGATTTAGAACGACTGTATAGAGTTAGTCTTAACTGGATTGTCTTGACCTTGAGGGATTAGTTAATATTAATAAATAAAAAAAAAAAAAAAAAAAAAAAAAAAGATTCCAAATAAATGTTATTTAGTTAGCTTTATACATTGAGTAAAGATTCAGACTATGTCACTGGTGAGTCACAATAATTGGTCCAATGACATGCAGCACACATTCTGCTAACATACAATTGCTTGCAATTACCTGTCTTCAAAATATTTTCACTCAAGAAAGAAAAAATATCCAACTAATAAAGACTAAAGTGTAATTTAGAGCAAGATAAGAGTGGTCCGAAGAAAACTTGAACGGTGAATATGATTGGAGAAGGAACAGAAGCAAGCAAGCAAAAGTTGAATATTTAACCTACTCATAAACTAAAAGCTAGTCATATTGTGATAAATAAACATTTTTGTCAACATTTATTTCTATTAAGCATTCTGAAAGTTTTTGAAAGCATTTTATCACATTACAGCAACATTGCAATGGTGACATCAAATATGCCAAAAGAAGGGTTCAAATGGCTAAACAAAATTTGAAATGACAACTTTCCAAAGTAATAGAAAATATATTGAAAAGAATACTAAAAAGTTTCCTATAAAAATCTTAAGACATGAAGAATAAGGTCAAGTATTTTTTGTAAATAAAAAAATTGAAAGACTAAAAAACTTACAAAATTATGAAGAGACTGGAGGTAATTTGAAGTGTAAAATAAGGACTTTTTAAAACCCCAAACAAATGTGAAAATTTGTCTTTTGTTGATAGATTAAACAAATAAAATAAAAGCTATGTCCCTTCAAAATTCAAAGACAGCCATTTATTTACAGTAATATCAAATTTAAATTTACCTTGCTTATTATTGAATCATTAAATCTAGTTTGAGACAAAGTTAGTGTTTTGTAGGTAATCTGTTTTGCACTTACTTTAAATTTAAAAAAAATCTCTTAAATGTTTCTAATCAATTTAAAAAGTTAATTGTGAAAGATAATTGGAGAAAAGGAATAAAAAAAACCCAAAAAAACTCAGATCTCAAAACTCATGTTTTAGTTGCTGTTCAGTAAATGACTGCTTGAAGCCTGTAAGTGTAAATTCATACAAAAGGAAAGTGACTTAAAATTAAAAATGTTGGTTTCTCTTTTACCTTAAATTTTGTTTATAGCTGATACTAGTTTCACTTGTTACCAAGTATGCCCAGATTTTTCTTTTGAGTACAAGAATTAGAATGAGAAAAAAAAATTTGATATTTCAAGAAGGACTGATGAATGTTTTGAATAGAATCATTTAAACATGATCTTTTAAGGAGGAAGAGAAGGGAAAAATAATTTAGGAAGACTATTACATGCAAATTATCCACAATTGCCTTCAGTGTGTGTGGGATATAATTCTCAATCTTAACCCATTTTTTTTCTAAACGATGCAGATTCTGTTTCACTTTTCATTAGAGAAAAAAGAAAAAAAAAAAAAAAAAGAGAACACTGCCACAATAATAAGATGACATTCTAGTACAAGTAAAGGAAGCAAAAATTTGATGAAAGGGTATCATGTCAACCAAAAGGACAAATGCAAAGAAAGGTTGTAAAAAGGGATTTATATATATATATATGTGTGTGTGTATAGCATGTTAAACGACTAACTAGCACACTTTTTTTATAAGATTTTAATTTTAGAAATTTTCCTGCTAGATAGTTATGATTAACTAAGTTGATATTCATTTTTAATGAATATGCTACATAAGGCTTCTCATATTTAGGCTAGTTGTGGATAAAAAGTAGCTCACAAAAATAAAAAAAAGGATTTAATTTATAAAGGGAGCTAAGTACAAACATTGTTTTTTTTTTATTATTTAATAGGAAAATAAATTTTACTGTTAAGACATTGGTGTTAAAAAAAGAAAGAAAAGAAAAATCAATATATGAACAAATAAATTTAATTGCGCTTATACAAAGCAGTTAAATTATCTCAAGAGTCAATTTTTCAATGTCAAAGGAACTTCTTATATTTGTCCTAATAAGAATCCAGAAAAACTCAAAGAATAGTAAACCTAGAATTATTTAAAATATCAATCACATGACTTGTTTGTATTTTAAAAGTTAAAACAAGCGAGAAAATGAATGAGTTGCACACAAGATGATGAATACGAAACAGGAGTTTCTGGAGCAGACTGACATTTTTGGGTTGAGGGAAATAAAGACAAATATGTATCGCAAATTTTTTTTTTTTTTTTTACTAATAACAGTTAATTTGGGATAAAAATACAACAGTTTATTTAAAGAAAAAATGAGAAGGTCATAATCTCTAACAAGATTAGCTTTTGCATATTATCTCAATCTATGACAAAAACAAAAGAAGGCATTTTTAATTTATTCATTTTTTTTTCTTCTCTTTCCACAAACTAAAATTTTAAAAAATAAATTTTTCAAAATCAAACCGGAACTTTTAAGGAATACTGTTTGTTTCGAAAAACAGTTTTGATAATTATTATTCAATTAAGGAGAATGAGAGAGAAAGAAAGAATTATAGTAGTACCTATTTTCAACTAATTACTTACAGTGAAATTCTCAGTAAACCAACAATCAGAGTTCTTTCTTTTGAAAATGGACGAAAGTGTAAGCAACTAAAAACACAGTTGTAAAGAAAGGATACTTGTTGTTAGCATAATTAAAGCTTTGGTAGTCAGGGAAATGAAAAGTAAGGTTTCACCAAGAATATTGCCGATATTACGAGGAGGATTTTAAACTGGATACATTAAAAATTGTTACTTTGCCATGGACAGAAGACAATCATTTAAAAACGAATTCTATTATTAAATAAATCAGTAATAAACAATAACAGGAAACGTTTATTACAAAAAACAAAAAACAAAAAAAACAAAAGCATTTACAATTAAAATCCAGGAAGAATTAAATATATATCAAGGAATAGTTTAGAAATCTTATAGTCTTAGAAACAATTATTTTAGTGAAAACGTCAAAACGGAAGTTGCTTTTTAATGATCAACGTATACAAGTGATCATAGATGTTATTTTTTTTTATGTTAAAAGTGGATCTGCTTTAACACGATTTGATAACACTTTAACATACTGATATTCTCCGTTTTTGTAGAAAATGATAAATCAAATAAAACTAGTTTTAAAATGGGGGGAAACAATAGAAAAAACAAAAAACAAACTAATTTTATTCAAAGCAAACCTACACAGTTAAATATAAAAGGTTAAAAAAAGAAAGAAAAGGAATTGTCCAGAGTGGATGTAAGCAAGAATAATAAAAAAAAAAAGAAAAAAAAGTGGATCTTTTTCTTACTAAACAAGGAACTTTAAGCAGTTAAATAGTAGGATATTTTCGTTATAATATATAAATTTCCTTCAGGTAGCCTGTGAAGAAAATAGCTTCAAAAATATATAAGTAGACAGCTTCTCTGAAAACGAAGGCTTATTATTGGCTACTTGAGCTTCCATGATTATGGCAGAGTATATCGAATTAAAATACAAGCATCAATGTTAACATCGACTCTTGCTCATAATTTAATAGGAATGCAGCAATTAAATTTCAGTGTTTTCTTCTTCAAACTGCAGAATAGCAATATAAAAATAAATCAACGGGTTTTTAAGACTATATGAACGTCAAGTGTTTATTCGGATAGACATTTTTTGACACACCCTCTTAAATGGAGAACTTGACTACAAAGTTGGGGATCAGTATTATTAAATACTCACATATGCAATTGATCCCCCAATTTGAAGTCGTATAAAGCCAACCTTCATTGTATGTGAATGAAAAGAAAGGTTATGACTACCAGTAGTAGATTTGTTATTGCCTTTGAAACAAGTGAAATGACAAGAATCTAGAGAGTGGGCGTTACTAAAATAATAATAGTGACCAACGTTTAGTGTGACTGTGTCTGTAGTCTTTAAGCTAAATAAAATGATGATTGTAAAATAGAAAAAAGGTTAGAATTTCAAGAGAATCTTATTCATTAAAAAATGCATTTTATGCTTATTTACGAAGATTTATATAACTTAGTCGTCCATCTTTACAAGAGAAAGAAAATAATTAAAAAAAAATAACATAAAAACAAGTATATTTTTTACTATGTGAATATAAAATAATCTAATAAATAAAATCGGTAGATCAGATGTAGAAGAAAACTATGCAGATAAAAATATGAAGAAATCAACAAGGTGAAATAAAAAGACAACAAAAAAAAAAAAAAATGACAAATTCAAATATATCTGCAACTAATTCTGCTGAGTGCTGAAAGGGTATAATTTACGATTTCTAACCATTGTAAAGATTTTTTAAAAAAATTACAGAACCATACAGTTTTCCTTTGAAATATTTATATCAATTTGCTAATAAATCACTAAACTAAAGAAAGCACAAAGCTCCAACACTAAAAGACCGCAATATATTTTGGAATCATTCAGTGATCGAGATAGATTTTATTACAATGAGATGACTGGAATGTCTCCTACCACTTCCCATTTGTCAAAACATTTTCTCGAAATCAGAGTGACAATAGCCAAGAAAAAAACATCCCTGATCGATAAAAAAAAAAAAAAGTGGAAACTATTAAGAAAGAATTAAAACCTTAATCATTGTCTCTTTCGAGAAGCACACGAAACAGAAGACTAATCCAACCTACCTTTAAATAGATAATCATACTCGTCGTCCTTCGTCATCGTCTACTTTCTCCCGTAAGGATACTACCTGTAAACAAAAGCCTCCTAAGCCGCTTCAAAGCGGTACTGAGGTGAAATGAAGATTGGGTTCTGATTGTGGTAGAAGTAAGATACTTCTCGTTTGTCGTATTTTTGTAAATGCCGACAGATGGCTACGATTATTTCACAATTTTTCCGCGTACCCCAATCAGTTTCGGAACACTAATATATCAATATGGCGTCCCTTTTAACGCCCCTCAGCTACTGCGCACCATATGACGTCATGTTTGCGCACCCGGAAATAGCACAAGGAATAAAGTTAGGCTTTCTCACAAATGCTTATGGTTAATTACTTAACAACGAATGTCGTCGGTATTGTTGATTTTAGTTTTATTAATTTCTATTTTAACTCTACTAACAGATTATCTATTTTAAGCATATTCTTATCCAGGTTGGAACTATAAGTATGTACTACCTGGACGGCGTTAAAAAAAAGACGGAAAAAAACAAGATAGGAGAACAAAACTTTAAAGAAACCATTTTCAGGATTGATCGAACCAGCAAAAAACAGGAGAAAAAGCATCTACTGCTCTGAGTATTATCTTGTATTTAGAGAGACAAACAGTCTAATTTAATATCTCCGAATTTATATATATATAAAAAGATTATAATTCCACTATTATCCTCTGTTAATATTCTTGTAACCAAAAATATTGATTGAATGTTTTTCCTCTTTGCAATCGATTAATGGAAAAAATACGGAAAACCGAAATTGCTATATATAATCGATAACACTGTTCTTATTTACTAAGGAAATATTTATTCTTGTACAACAGGAATAAATAAAATTCAGCCGGCTTTGGTGAACTATAGACGTTTTTCAATTACCGTTACTAAAAAAAAGAAAACATTTCCGTGTCGATAGTAAATAAATAAATGCAGTAACAATTTATAGTGTTTCAGTTTAATAAATGTTGATCTTTTTCCTGTTATTTTTTTGTATTGTGCATAAATAATTTTAAGCAAATATAGTAAGAAAACCAAATGTATACCACAATTTTTGTATCAGTTCCATAATTTATTTTTCCCAATTAAAATGATTTTTTGACATTGTTATTGCAATTGAATTTAGTGAATCTAATTTCAAAACGATTGTTTTTGTAGCGAGAAAGCACTGAAGTTTTATTAAGTTTAACAAACATTTCTATTTCAGATAGAACGAGTTTAAAAAAAAAAAGTAGACACCCCCATGTGTTTGTGTAATCCATTTTTTCTTCTATGTTCCGTCTACCTTCAGGAAGTGACCGATCATGGCTCTTCACAGCTTCTTACTTAATCTTCTTATCCTTATCTGTTAGCAGTGTTTACCTTAGTTTTTGTTTTTACTATCTCTACTGAACTCCTTTCTGTTTTGCTATCCATTTATTTACCCGTTTTAAGTAAATTTTCATCTTGTGCTTGCCTTTCCACTTGTGAATGTCAAATTTTCCAAGCCTTTTTTCCTCTGTATGTGTTCCTGAAATTTCAACTATGTCTCACTCTACTTGTTTCTATTTTCCTTAAAATTTCCCCACTGCTTATATGCTTCGTCTATGGTATTCTCATTGTCGTCTTGTAAAACCACATCTCTGTTGCATGTGAGGAATTTGCCCAGTATAGGAGAACTGATATTATATGGCACTTCAGCAGTTTTTTCCTTGTTTCTAATGAAATTTTCCTGTTTCTTAATACTTTGCTTAGCTTTTGGAAGCCAACTTTTACTATCCCAGTGCACCTTCAGATTTCAGTGTTGCATTTTCTGTCATCACTTAAAATAATTTTTCGTCCAAGAATCCACTATGTAATTCTATTCTATACTTGACAATTCTTTTTTATGAAAATTTTGCTGTTTTTTTTGAGATGCGGTTTCAATAACTTTCCCAGTTTTAGATTTCAGGAAAATAAATTCCCTTCTTTGTGAAGGCGAGGAGAGATAATTAATTGTAAATCTCAACTGGAATAAGGAACAAGTTTCATCTGACCCTGATAACTTTTATGTTATGCTTTCACATTCTCAAACACACAAATGAAACACAGATTCCAGTAAGATCACCAAAATTAAGCAACATCAAGCATGGTCAGTACCTAGATGGGTGAGACTGCTTGGGAATACGAGGTGCTGTCAGTTAGGATGTGAGGCTTGGAATTGTTAATCAGAGCGCCGAGTTCCAATTCCTGTTGGTTCCATTATATTGACTTATATGCAAATACCCTTGGGAAAGGTATTAATCCACTGCTTCTCCCCTCAGCTATGAATTAATTAGTAAGAATTGTATCACTAAACCATTACTATATCCCAAAAAATTTTACAATCTAAAAATATTTCCTGACTTTAAAATAACATGCAAAGGGTTGATAATTCATAAAAAATGAGTCGATAAAAAATCCACTGAAATAAGTGCCAGGTTCCATCTGACCATGATAATCTTTATATAACATTTCCTTTTTCTCACAAATACAAAGGTTTATAGTTATATCGCATTGAAACACTGGTTCTCATACCATCACCTAGTTAAGCAATGTTGAACCTGGTCAGTACATAGATGGGTAACCGCTTGGGAATACCAGGTGCTGTAAGCTTGGATGTGCAGGTGGTATAATGAATAACAGTTTGGAATTGGAGATCAGAGAGCCAAGTTCCTATTCCAGTCTGGTTTGTTATATTCACTTACGTGCAAATACCCTTTAGAAAGGTATGAATCCATCTCTTTTTCCCAAGCTATGGGTTAATTAGTAAGACTTGTATCACTATATTATTATTATCTCCAAAAAAATTCTTACAATCTAAAAATACTTTCTGGTTTTAAATAACCTGTAAAGGGAAGCCATTAACAAAAAATCAAGTTACTTGACAGCAATCTCTTTTCTTTTTTGTAGCTAGGGGTTACAGAACTTAAAAAGGAGTCCAGTCAGGATAAGGCTGCTCTTCATAGTGATGTTCATCTGTTGGAAATGAATGTAATAGTCAATGATGAAAGTTAGATTTGGATATCATTAAGAAAGATGTAACACTATCCATCACATAATAATAATAATGTTATCAAAGCATGATGGAAGGTCTTCTTTAACATAAGGGAACGTCATTTCAAATTTTCATTATAGTCGTTTCGGCCCTGTAAAATTCTAACATCAACAGATAATTTCTGTTTGATTTTCCATGATGAGGTGTTATCATTATTTACATGTGGCCTATTGTCCTCATCAGCAGGTAGATTAGGTTGAAGGCTCCAAGTCCACAACTCAGGATTGTCTCATTTCTGTAATGAGGAGTTAATTTTATTTACATGCAGACTCTTGTCCAGATCAGCAGGTAGATTAAGTTGAAGGCTCCATGTCTTCTCCTTAGGATTGTCCAATTTCTGTAATGAGGAGTTATATTTATTTACATGTAGTCTTTTGTCCACATCAGGTTGATTGCTCAGGATTGTCACCATAGAGTGCAGCTGTTTCTGAATCTTGTCTTTATGTTGTATATTACTTGGCATCTCCTCATATACTAACCATGTGCTTTTACTCTCTCATATAGTGACTGTTCACTTTTATCTTCTCCCTTACCCTATCAGCAGGGCTTTTCTTATTTTTTTTTTTTTATTGCTTCACTCCCAAGCAAGACAATAAAACCACAAAGATGCATGGGGTTCCTGAGTATGAAAGAATATGAGAAAAAAAAAAACATTATTAAAGAGAGAGAACAATAAATGAAAAGGATTTAAGAAGACAAAAAATAATAATTGACATTATCTTTGAATTTTTGAAGATCAAATTTGGCTGGAATGTAAGATGCCAGAGGGGAGTTCCATAAGTGAGAAGTGTGAGAGAAGAAACTGTCATCACAGAACTTATGGTTTCATCTAGCAATTTTAGCTGTAAAATAACGAGATCTTGCTGCCATTCTAGTACTGCACTTAAATTCATAAGGTCTTAGTACTAAAGAGAAAAGCTCATCAGAACAATTAGTATAACATCTCTCAGTCCCGAGAGACCCTGGATCTGCACCTGAAGAATTGTGGCTTCCTGGGCAAGTTTTTTTTTTTTTATGAGAAATTGGCTGTTGCCCATGCAGCATGTTGCCTCTTTCCATGCCATGGGTGTTATCCAAGGGAAACTGTTATCTGCCATGCATGATACACACTTAGACAATCATGTATCTTTTGATACATGACTGACAAGGCAGATTTTTCCTTGCAGTAGGTTGCCATTTCTTTCTGCAGTAGACCAGTTGCCATACAAGGCTATAGAAGCTGGTTTGTCCTTCTATTTACCCATAGCTGGGGGGAGAAGAAGAGGATTCATACCTTTTCCAAGGTAAGTGAATGTAATGGTTTCAACTGGAATTTGAACTCAGTTTTCCGATTCCTCAATCTGTGCCACCATCCATTACTCCACTGTGCATCTTTCCAAGGGAAACACAGACACCAATACAGCTTAACACCAGCAAGAGTTGCCAGAATAAAATTGACCATGACATCAGACTGTCTTATGGACTTTGGGTCTGGTTTAAATTCAGTGTTGTCCTTCTCCCAGTCTGGTTGCCAACCATGGCTACAGAGTACAGACTGCCCTACTATTTACCTGTAGCTGGATGATTTGAATTCAAAGTTTTTCCTTCTTCAAGACCAGTTGCCACCCAATGCTATAGAACCCAGTATGTACTGCTGTTTACCCATTGCTGGGGAGAGAAGAGATAGAATCATACCTTTTCCAAGCATATAAGTGAATGCAATAAACTCTACTGGAATTTGAACTTAGGTCTCCGATTCCTCAATCTATTACTCCACTGTGCCTCTCGAACAATTATCATAAAAATATTCATAGAAAGGGCACATGGAAACTACATTATAACAATAGTAAAGTGAAAGTCAGGACCAATAATATTACATTCTTTGGATTTTATCAAATACTAGCAGTAGAGCCCAGCGTTGCCCGGGGATGTAACAGTAAGAGATAGATCAAGTATTGACCATCATAAAGACTGAAAAATAAAATTGACAAAGATTATTGTTTAAGGTTGACGGACACGCATGTCTTAATTAGTTTTTTTTTTTGTTTCATTTTTTTTTTTTTTATGAATTGGTCAAACCCAAACTCAAACAAAAACATTGTTTTCAATTGTTATGAGTCTACCGATTGAATAAAATTTTATTATAAACAATTGTCTTGTAAATGGAATTTTTAAAGCATTCTGAATGTAAAAATAAAGAAAAAAGTGTGCAAGGCAATAAGAAACACTACCTGCCCAAAAAAAAGTGAATTTTTATTGAAATTGGTTGAAAAATGTAGGAAATTTGATCCCATATATAAATGAACACACACACACACACACACACACACACACACACACACACAACCTGGGTTTTATAATAAGTATAACTCGATATGAGTTGTCCCCCTTTCATTCTTGTGATTCCTCTTAATCGTGTTTTCAAATTGATTTTATGCAAAAACAATTTCCAATTTTTGGCGCTGTCAGAACCACCGCAAGGTAATTTTACGTAGTCCTGTGAAATTTTGTTGAAATCGGTTGAAAAATGTAGGAAATCTGATCCAATATATAAACATACAGACACACACACACACACACACAATCTGCGTTTTATAATAAGTAAGATCTCTAGATACATAGCAGAAGTACTTAACCAGGGCTACAGAATACACACACTGCATCTTCTGCTGAAAGATAAAATATCCTAAAAGGGATCTCTTTCTTGTTAGATACTTGCTGACATGAGTTTAAACCGGGCTTATGTCTACCTTTTTTGACTCTTTTGTGAACCAAACCTATGTCTTTTAGACTCAAGTACAAACCAGACATTACCTTTCTAATAATACAGGACTTTATTTGATATTACAGCCCAACAAGGATTGATATTTTTGTTACATCTCACCATTTCAACAATAAAATGATGAGACATTGCTGCCAATCTCTTACTTGATTATGTCTTTCACAGAAACTATTTGGCCATGGTGCTTATACAACAGTTGTCTTTATGGTGATATTAACTTTTTCACAAAGCTCCCTGAAGGCTTCATTAGAGAGCTCTCCGCCATTATCACTCAAGAACTTTTCTTGGCAACTATAAACACTGATCGATGTACAAAATATTTTCTCTGTGTTGTTTTCAGGTCTCTTTGATCACACAACAGCACAAGGTGACAATCTAGTAACATGATCTCTTAGGTGAAGTAGATGGATGCCCTTAAATTTCTTCAAATTCATAGCTACACATTTACCAAAAGTAGTTGTCATTGGTAAGCCAACAACTGGCAGTAACAGAGGTTTGCAGTAATCTTTACAGACTCGTCATGTGGTATTTTCATGATTGCAGTTTGGAGTTCCAAATCATCTCTATAAACATTTTCTATTAATTGTAATAATTTCTTGGGGAAGATGAGCAAACTGACAATGCAATTTGAGAGACTTGTATAACACTCAATGTTTTCTTACAAGAATGTGTAACTTTAATGAAAGGATTTCTCTGAGTTTCATCAACATATTACAATTTGCATAATGGAAGATCATAATGGCCAGATTGCGTTACACATAAATTGATCTTTTACCCAAGTATTTGAGCTGTATCCTCCTTAAAATTTAATTTATGTTTTTAGATTCCTGAAATTACTACAATTGATGATCTTGTTCCATAATAAGAATTTATAAATACATACTTGCATCTCATTCTAATTTAATTAGCTTTTTCAAATCATGATCTTCTTTGATAGTGGTAATGGTGAAATTAACTGTTTCCATGAAATTTATAAAAAAATTTCCTAAAAGAATTTTCTTAAAATAATTTTTTCCAATTGACTTCTCTAGGAAAATGTTTTACAATTGATTCTTATTGTAAAATCATTTGCAATATATTCCTATAAATTATTTTCCAATGCATTATTATAATAAAATCTTTTCCAGTGGATTTCTATAGTATAATCATTTTCAATGTATACCTATAGTAAAATTATTTCCAATTAATTCCTCTAGTAAAATATTTTACAATTTGATTCATATTGTAAAATCATTTTCAATGAATTCCTATAAAAAAATCTTTTCCAATGAATTTCTTTAGTAAAATTATTTTCAATGCATTCCTATAATAAAATCTTTTCCAATGGATTCCTATAATAAAATCATTTTCAATGTACTCCTATAATAAAATCCTTTCCAATGGATTCCTATAATAAAATCCTTTCCAATGGATTCCTATAATAAAATCACTTGCAATGCATTCTTATAATAAAATCTTTTCCAATGGATTCTTATTATTAAATCCTCTGCAATGGATTTCTATAGTAAAATCATTTACAATGCATTCCTCAAGTATTCCTGTGGTAATGGTGAGATTAATTTTTTCCATACAGGAAGTAATCAGCATTCCTTTGATCGAACAACATTAACTGTCAGTTGAAATTAATTAGATCTTTTTCTTAACATAGTTTTTCAGGAAATTACACTTCTCTAGTACACTAAATGTTATAGCTCTTTCTAATATTGATGAGAGTTTTCTTAACCTTTTTTTTTTGATACTGTGGAAATTTAACAACTTGATTCTATCATTATTTTCTTTTACAGTTACATGTGCT